TGTAAAAAATTAAAGTAGTCTTTTATACCCCTTCCATCACCAAAATGTTTGAGTAACTTCTAGTTAAAACTAATAACAACCCCAGTTTTCCCTGGGTGGTAGGAAAGCACCTTTATTCTGTTGAGCTGGAACTAGACTAAGTCATTTGGATGTTTTGTTTGTGCTTTTGGGGAGATAGGAAAGAAATGTTTCCTCTTTGATCAGAGACCCTTTGGAGTTTGGTGACAAACTGGATGTCTTTGGTAATGGGAAGCCACTTTCTCAAGTGATTCTGAAAGATTACCTGCAGTGTTTCTTAAAAACAACCATACTTTGATCATACTCTGGACTCCCTTATTTTTCTTTTTTGGTCCAGTTAACCTCAAAAAAGGCAAACTTCATCTGCTCTGCTGTGTTTTGTTTGGCTTGTAATCTGTGTTGTTGCAAAGGCAAACAGCTGCTGCAGTTGTTTGTAGATGTTCCTGCAGCCTGTGATGTTACTGGGGTTGATGTGGTAGCTCTTCCTCCAACTGGGTCAGCAAGTTACATTGGCATTGGAAGCTGACTAGGAACTGTTTGGAAAGGTCCAAAGCAACAACATGTTAGTTTTGCCTTTTTTGTGTTTTCTTTTCTTTTCCTAGTAACATTTTGAAACAGTATTTTTAGCTTGCTGTAATATTTGCAATTAATGCATCCTGATCGGAAAAGTGCCTGCCTTCCTCCGCGCAGAGTCTCCCAGGCAAGATGAGAGTTTCCCAACAAAGGAAAGGTGAAAGAGATTATTTTGAAAAACGTCTGCTACTTGGACAGCCCAAAGGAGTAGAAGCAGTGGAAATCTGCATCTTTTTTGCTGAATGAGGGGTGTCTGCTTTCTGTGAAAGGTGCTGAAAACAACTTCTGATTTGAATGTTCCTCCTTTCAATTCATTATCGTTTGAGTCTTCTTTGGCTGCAATCTGCACCAGCTGTTTTCCACCCTAATCTTCTTTCCCGTACAATCTGGCCACGTTTGCAGCAGCGGTGGTTACGCTGGGTGAGGATGAAGTACTGCAGTTGTCCTTGGCATGTTATTGCCGGCTAAACCAGTGGAATCTCATTAGGTTAGATTTCTTCATGGCCGCTTATGGATGCCTTAGGGTGGAAGATGCCTGTGGTCTGCAGAGATAAAGGCTTTCGGAAAGGAGAAGCAAAGGCTTATCGGTGCTGCCAGTGAAAGATGAACGTCTGGAGTCTTTTTAGAGTTGGGCCAGTTCTTTCTGTGCTGTTCTGTAGGCAGTCAAATAGCATTTGTGGTAAAGCTCAAAGGGCCGTACCTGTTTCTATAGCCCTGGAAAAGCACGGGTTTAATGGCATTAATCTGCGAGGATGAAACGAAGGTGCAAAACCTGATAATACTGGAATAGTTTTTCCTTCTCTGGGCTTTCCGTGTGTTCCGCTGTAGGCAGTGGGCAGACAGTACCCTGTAGTCCTGCCTGCGGTGTTCCTCACGCGTTTGAAACCAGCCAGAGCTGCCAGCGGCAGGGCGGGAGCAGAGCTGCAGCCCTCCAGGAGACACCAGAGCTTGCTCGGGCCTCGAGTTCCCGGAGGAAAACACGGGCTCGCTGTGGGAGGGGGCAGCTCCGGGGCCCGGACAGCCGCGCGCCCCGCCCCGCCTGGCGTCATGGAATTCCAGGGCGCTCCCGCCAATGGCGGCGGGGGCACGTCCGGCGGCACCCGCGGCANCTCGGTGCGCCCGGCCGCCACGGAGGGCCGCAGCCGGGGAGCGCGGCGGAGCAGCTCCTCCGGCGGGAGAAGGGCGCGGGAACAGCCGGGCGGAGAACGCTGCAAGCGCGGCCGCTTCCTCCGCACCTCCGGGAGCGGGCAGAGCTAAAGCTGACAGGGACAGCCTATGGATTATTAACCTCCGGGCAGCTCCCTGCGGCTGGGAACTAGTGCTGCCCTCTTTTAACTTTCCCAGCTGCTCATCATGGCATGTGCGTGTTGCGTAGGGAATTAATGCCAATTTCGGTGCCTGGCTCTTAGAGTTTACAGAGCATTTGCAAATACTGTTATTGTATAATACTGAACAGCGCAGAGCTCGCTTCTGACTGTCAGCTAAGGTGCTGTTCTCTCATAAAATACTATCAATATCAGTCAATCCACCGATACTTCTGTAAGTATAAATAAAATCCTTTGTGGTTTCTCTTTCCTGACATTCACCTCTCATAAACTCACCGTAGGGTCAGAGGTGTATATGTGGCATGTCTGGTCATGTCTGTGTAGTGCAGTCCGTTGTTTTTATCTGAGCACTAACGCAGACTATATCTATTTTAGCAGGGTGTTCTGCCCATGATAACACTCTCTTTCTTGTCAGGTTTGATTAGCCCCAAGTGAATGCTCACATGGCTAAACCACTTCTGCTGCTGGAGGTTGTTTGGATGTCTCCACACGGAGCTGCATTACATCATCATCTGTAATAAAGATTTTGCAAATCAAATATGGCTCCTTCTAATGCCTAAATGACAGACAAGATGGTGGCACCAGTTTGTGTGAGCAGAGGATCTGACTCTGTGGTTGAGATGCGCTTAAGACAATTGCCAGTGACTGTTCAGTTGTATTAGAGTGCAGGTTACTTTCCCCCAGGGCGTTTTGAGCCTGACATTAATAGAAAATAAAGAGCAAATTTTCTCACTAAGCATCATGGCAGCTGATACAACCGGTTGGAATCTGCTGGCGATGACATTGCTAAACTTACAGTTGTTTTTCCAATAGCTGCATTTCAAACTCCCAACAGTGGGACAGCAATGATGCAGGAAATGAGGCTCCTCTTCCTTCCCCAACAGTAGATTTTCCTTGTGAACCGTTGTGCCTGCAGTGTGTTTCTGAGACAGAAGTATCCCCAGCAGTGCCCTCTGGACACTCAGCTCTCATTTTACAGACCAAGTATGGCCCTTCCACAGCGGATCCTCACTGGGTGGGCTCCGATGGGCCAGCTTTCAGGGAAAACTTTTTTGTTTTGCTTCTACGTAAAGAAAAAAAATCACAGAATCAGTAAGGTTGGAAAAGACCTTTAAGATCATCGAGTCCGCCTTTGTCCGAACACCACTTGTCAACTAGACCATGGCACTAAGTTCCATGTCCGGTCCTTCCTTAAACACGTCCAGGGGACAGTAACTCCACCACCTCCCTGGGCAGCCTGTTCCAGTGTCTGATCAGCCTTTCTGTGAAGAAATTCCTCCTAACGTCCAAGCTAAACCTTCCCTGGTGCAATTTAAGGCCATTTCCTCTTGTCCCGTCACTGGTTGCCTGGGAGAAGAGGCCAATCCCCACCTGGCTACAGCCTCTTTTCAGGGAGTTTGTAGAGAGCAATAAGGTCTCTCCGGAGCCTCGTTTTCTCCAGGATAAACACCCCAGCTCCCTCAGCAGCTCGTCGTAAGATGAATGTTCCAGACCCTTCTCCAGCTCCGTTGTCCTTCTCTGCACACGCTCCAGCATCCCCACATCCTTCCTGTAGTGAGGGGCCCAGAACTGGACGCACCACTCGATGAGTGGCCTCACCACTGCCGAATAGGGGGGGGGAAATCACTCCCCTAGTCCTGCTGGCCACACGGAAAGAGCCCAGCAAGCCCAGCTGCGGGTGACGAGGACGAGCCTCGCGGCTCGCTGGGGGTGGGAGCGCGGCCCTCGCGGGGGGACGCGGGGACAGGGAATCCCCCGGCGCGCGCGGCGTGCCTTTTGTGTTTGTACACACGGGCCGGGGGCGGGGCCNCGGCTCCTGCAGGGCGCGGAGCCGCCGCCAGAGGGAGCCGCTGACCCGCGGATGCACCGGGGCTCCCGCACCGCCCGTCCCGAACCCCGGCCTCGGGACCCCCGGAGCGGAGCGGAGTCGGCGGCAGAGCTGGCACACAGCCCCCGAGTCCTGATCTTTTACAGTCCTGGCTCTGTGCAGAGCGGTGGCAGTCGTGCTTCGGCTTGGAGGATGGTTTTGGGCTAGGTGTAGGTATTCCTTGGGGAAAACGTGGATTGGGAGGAGAAGTGGGTTTTGAATAGGGGGCTTAATTTAGAAGTCCGAGAGGGGATTTATTAATGTATTGAGGAGTCTGAAGAGAATGGAGACAGCCTTTTCTCGGTGGTGCCAGGCAACGGGACAAGAGGCAATGGGCAGCAACCGATGGACGGGAAAGTCCTCCTGAACATGAGGAAGAACTTTACTGTGGAGGTGACTGAGCATTGCAACTGATTCCCCAGAGCGGTTGTGGAGTCTCCTTCTTTGGAGATATCCAAAAGCCATCTGGACACAATCCTGACAAACCATCTCTGGGATGACCCTGTTTGAGCAGGGAGGTTGGGACAGGTGACCCACTGTGGTCCCTTCTAACCTGACCCACTCTGTGATTCTTGCTCTAGGTGTGTGGCAGAATTAATCTTTTGGGAGGAAAGTAACAAAGCCTGAGCAGGAAAAGACAAAGCTTCCATGGAAATAAATGTGGTACTAATTTCACAGATAGACATCACGTTTGCAAACATATGTTGCTAATCTGGATTTGTCATTCTGACACCAAAACTAACATGGGGAAGGAAATATGCTGGATACTTTTGACTGACAATATAACAGAGATAGTAAATTTTTTTTGGTTCTGTGAATGTTGACAGTAGAGAAGAACCAGTTTTCCCTTAAAATCAGGGCTCCTGTCAGGCCCCTCACTGGGAGGGTACCTTTGATACAGCTGAACTCGGGGCGGCTTTGTGGTTTGCCACATCTGCACTGAGCTGTGTCAGGTGGACAGCACATGTTGGCCGACTTTTCCCTTGCTGAAGTCAGGCCTCGGAGTCTGCCTGAAGGATCCCTGCTGAAGCCAGTGGAAGTTCTCACAGATTGGTGGTGAGAAGACAGTGGCCCTTTGCCAGCAGAGCTGATTTTGTATTGGTAAAAAAGCTGGGGGTCTCCTAGGGGAAACAGGAGTGTATGGTGCTTGGTTCAATCTGGAGGCTGGACCCCTGCTTTTAAGGTGATGCAGAATATGTTTTCAACGCTAATATTTTTATTTTTTTTTTTTCATTGTATTTAATTTTAATAGGCCGGGTACTGTGGCTCTGCGTGAAATCAGGCGCTATCAAAAGTCCACCGAACTTTTGATCCGCAAACTCCCCTTCCAGCGTCTGGTGCGTGAAATTGCTCAGGACTTCAAGACAGATCTGCGCTTCCAGAGCGCTGCCATCGGTGCTTTGCAGGTGAGCCTTGCGAGGGGGCCCGGGGGCAGCGCTGGGAGCGCCCCCCAGCCGGGATTCCCTGGAGCCCCCGGAGCTCCGCCCCGCTCCCCCATTGGCCAGGCTGTTTCCAGGGTTAGTTTGGGCTCCCTCTGATTGGTGGGATTGCCGCGGTGGGCGTGGCCCGCGCGGTGGGGAGGGATGCGCACCTCATCCTTGCCCTGCCCACGGGGGTGCTGGGAATGCCTGTGGGTACCGTAGGATAAAACAGCGCAGGGACAGCTCAGCAGCTCCTTACAGAGCCTATAAGTGTGTTTTTGTGCGGGGTGCTTTGGATATAGCTCCTCGATTTGTTAGAACAGTGTGTAAGATGCTCAAGAAAAACACATTTCCTCCACCTTTGAGCTCTGCAGCTGGAGAGGGAACATTGTGTAAAGCGGTACCTGGGGTACCCTGATGGGGAGGTCTTGGCGTCCTCAAATGCCCTCTAAAGAAAAACAGCCCAATAAGCTACATCTAAGCACAATTAGGGAAATAGCTGCTTTCCTAGGATGTAGTTGATACTAAACACATTTTTTTAATATATATATTAGTTATGTAACTTATTTAGATTATACAGAGAGAAAAATATTAATTGCTCTTTCTTAATTTGCCCAAATTCCTGAATCTTAAGTTAGGACCCCCCGCAAGACTCAGTTCTTACCATGGGGACATCTCTCTCGTGATAAAAGACACTCCCAATTAAAGATAGGTCTTTACTGTTCTTTTAGCTTTTGAAAGATTGTTCCAGAATGTATCTGTCATTGTAGTCTGTCTGATGTGCAGGCAAAATGGTCTTTCTAGTTAATGAATTTCACCTGATAAGGGGCCAAGACGATTGCCATGGGAGCCCATAAACTTGGGCATATGCTTAGCTTCAAAAGGTGCCTGTGTGTGTTTGCAGAGTTGCTGCTTTTGCTTTTAGTTATTCTGTGTGGTAGTTCTTAAATCTTGAGGTTTATCTGTGTCTCTTTATGTAGAACTGCCTATTAAAATTTAGTTGTTAATACACTTACAGAAGGCTCCTGGTTTGAATATTTCTTAATTTGCATTAAGGACTTGTTGGTATAGAACTTGGTCACATACAATTCCTAGTGTGTTCTGCTGGCATATTTAAAAAAATAAACTCAAAAAAGTAAAATAAAGAAAAAAAAATTAACCCCTTGGGTACCATGTTGTTTGTGCCAGCATGGATATTTGATGAGGTGTCTTAACTTTCCATGTAGTGATTTGACAAAATTTAGTTGGGGAATCTCATATCCTACTGCAAATGAAATGGCTCAGTAATACCACAGTCCTCATCTGCTGTACTGTATATTGTTCTTTCTTCATATTGGATAATCTTATGTTTTTAAACAAGATCTTTGAACCTGATAAGTTGATTATTGGAGTTCTTGGCAATGAAGTGGGTCACACAAGTTGTTCTCTTGAGTATATCGTGGAAAGGGAGACCTCATCCTCCTTTCTATAATTGAGCCCCATCATTCCCACCTTCTCAGCCCAGGTGTTTCTGTGTCCAGTACTGGCACACTAAGATGCTTCCTAGGAGGTTGATAGGTGTTAGAATTCCATATGAACCCAAAAGTGTTTAAACAATTACCATTGCTGTGCTGGGCTTAGCAGCAGCTAATTTAACGTGAGGCAGGAGAATATTTAGGTCCAACTGCACATCTGTCTAACTCAGAGTCCTGTCTGCAGCTGTTCAGTAACAGGGAAAACCACTGTGGTCAGTGTTGTTCTTGTGCTGCCCCTGATTCTCTCAGGTGAGAGGTGAGAACCTTCTGTGATAGTGGGGGCCAGTGCTGTGTCCCCAGATAGCCACAAAGAAAGTACAGGAATGGGACAATTGTCTGATGGCAATTCCCTGACAGGACCTGATGTCCTGGTTTTGATGGTTCAAGAAGTTCCTGAACTAAAGGAGTTCTCTTATTTCTAATAGTTCCCAGTATATCCTTTTTCTGCTAATTTTTGAGTTAAGCCACCTCTTCAGTATCTGTGGAAGGAGCTGAGTGCCTGAGCTGTGTGCCAGGAAGGAGTACATGTTCTTCTTTTCCTTGCCACCTGCCAATTTCACCTGATGCTCAGTGACTCTTACTCTGGAAGAGGCAGCAAACAAGGCTCTCAAACAGTGTAAACCAGCCTTTGGAAAAAGAATTTCCTAAACTAACTAACCTGTAAATAATTTAACCCCTTCCTATCTCATGAGAATCCCATGGGAGTATTAGTTCTGTTGTGTTCTGGAGGGTGTCCTTACCAAATGGCAGCAGTACACTTCTTTAGAGAGAATATTGTAAGAAAGTGGAGGCTTTTCATTTCTGAAAATCTAAAACTTTTGATATTTGTGAGTGATAAAGATCAAAACCTCCACTTAACGCCATGTTACACTGTACTTTTAATTCTGAAGTATGATTCTATTTTTTTCCCCTGGTGCTCAGAGAGTAAAAATGTTCTTACCTTTTTTCTTCCACACTAGGAGGCAAGTGAAGCCTACTTGGTTGGCCTGTTTGAAGACACCAACCTGTGTGCTATCCATGCCAAACGTGTCACAATCATGCCAAAAGATATCCAGCTAGCACGCCGCATACGTGGGGAGCGTGCCTAAAACCTCACCACGATGGGTTTGTCATTCTCGAAGCAAAATCTTCTTCCTGTTATTGGTAGTAATGAACGTTAGATATTTTTTCCATGGGGTTAAAAGGTACCTTAAGTATATGGTTGCAAGTGGAAAAATAGGGGACAGAATTGGGTATTGGCAAGTTTTCTTTCCATTTTCATTTGTGTGTGGATTTTTAATATAAACAAGGGGACATAAAAACAATCAATGTGGTCAAAAAATAAAAACATTAATTGTTGAAACTTGTTCACCAAAACAACTTTATAAAAAAAAAAATATAAATAAACCTGTCAAATTTTTCTGGACAATGCCAGCATTTGGATTTTTTTAAACAAGTAAATTTCTTATCAATGGCAACTAAATGGTGTTTGTAGCATTTTTATCATACAGTAGATTCCATCCATTCACTATACTTTTCTAACTGAGTTGTCCTACATGCAAGTACATGTTTTTAATGTTGTCTGTCTTCTGTGCTGTTCCTGTAAGTTTGCTATTAAAATACATTAAATGATGCCTGTTTTTAGTCTTGATTTTTGAATATTACACATGGGTTATATTGATTAAAAAGTGATCAGCCTTCCCTCCCCTTTTTCTCTTCAGTGCACGGCCTAATTCCTTGGAGCAGTTCTAAGAAATGCTGGGGATACTGCCTTGGCTGAAGTAGTGTATATGTGAGGTTCTTTTAAAAGTGTAAAATTTGTCTGCTCCACATAAAAGTGAATTTGGTGAGTATAGTACCAGGTAGAGTCTGGAGCAGAGCTGAGCTCTGTAGCTATAGTGCTAAGAAGCATCAATTTGTTGTAATTTAGATTTCTTTCTTACTCGATTTAATGCTGAATTTGGAAGTGTTTTTCATGTTTTTTGGGGTTTTTTTTGGTTTTTTTTTAGTATGGCACAAGTGGTGGAATGTAATGGTTTGTGTTTTTCTGTTTGGGGGTATTAGTTTTCTTGGGTGTTTCTTGTTGTGGTTTTTTTACCCTTTTACACTCGGTTAGTTTCTTGATTTGTAGATGTTCCCTTTTTGGTTGGCTACCTTTCTGTTTCAGTCACACCCTCTAGCATTTTTGAGGGCTTAGTTCACATGTGATTAGTTTCAACTTATACACTTCAATCTAAAAATCACTTTTGTACCATTTTTGTTACAATTCTTCACAGAAGCAGTACTTGGACAGGGTCACAGATTTAAAACTTACTGGGTTTTTATATTCTCCCGCAGTTGCTGATGAAACTTCACATGAGGAAATTTATTGCTGAAATACTGTCCTGTGAAAACCTGGTTTTAATTTTTCCCCTGAAGTTTGTTTAAGGGGGCAGACTTAAACATAGGGACTTAAACAGACTGGCAGACCAGTCTGGAAACAAGTTATGTGGTGTGGTTCTTGATAGTTCTTGCAGATAATGAAATGAGCTCCGCAGAAAAAACGTAGGCGGTGAACAGATTTCACCTCCATGCTAAGGCTCCTGCGGAGCTTATTTGCTGCTAACTTCTTTCGAGAGGTTTTGAGTGAGCTCTAAACATGAGTGAATTTGTCTGAAGATTTCCAAAGAGGATTAATAGAGATATATTATCTGCTTTGGTATCTTGAACAGAGAGCCAAAAATTACAGAATAAATCACGTTATTCATAACTTGCTTGGCTTTGGTAATGAATGCTGTCTGCCAGGGTTGTGCAAAGTAAAGTCTATTTAAATGGAATAGCTTGTCACAGGCAAGACTAATGCTAGACAAAATTTGATCACATCCTTTTGATGCCAAGCAGTTCGTAGCTATCAACTGAAAATTAAGGAAGACTTGTGTTGGAGCACCCAGAACAACAGAAATATAAAAGGTGAGCAACTGAAATTTAACTGACTTAAGATGTCACTTCTGTCTACTTGATAACAAGCCTGTTAAACTTGCTAACAATGCATTTCAATATAAATAACTATCTGTTTTGTCCTGTACTTCAGAATTATGTTTCACCTATCAGCACTGCTGCAAGCACCTACACAAACAGGTAATTAGCCTGGGAGGTTTTTTATTGAATAATCTGGAATTGAAGTGTAGATAAGGATTTTTTTTTATTTTTTTAAAAGGAATATTAGGAAACAAAATCTTAATATTTTGGTACTCAAATGAAATACTGAGTTCTTTCTCATTGAAAGAATTGGGGTGAGGAATATCCCAGTTTAACTGACAGTGCAGTTAAAATGTTCAAGGCAGGGAAAATCCTAACGGAAGATGAGGGGATCAGGAATTTGAGCAGATGACAACATTTTAGTGTGCAGTGCTTTACTGCCAGCTTAGGGATAAACTTGGCCTTTTTGGAAGTTGTGGTCCTAGAGATGCCAGGTGAATCCTGTTAGTGATTAGCTGTCTGCCTGTATCAATGCCAAGAAACTTCAGTTTACAAAACAGTTTACCTCTTTTTCTCCTCCTTGCCCCCTCCGTACCAGTTTTTCTGTTTCCTGGACAATTCAGCTACAGCTGAAATTTTGAATACCAGAATCAAGTTCTGGTCCTGTGAATGTGCTTCTGTGGAGCAGTTTAACTGTACTGAGTGCAGGGATGGATGTGAAGTGGCTCCTTGTTAGTAATAGTCGTATTCAGAGGTTGAACATCTCTTTAAGATGCTGTTTGATGTGTGTCTGCAGCACAATTTCTGAATTATTTTGGTGGAGTCCTTTATAATGTGTATGTGATAAGTTGGTTTTTAGGTCTGTTTCATATTTGTATTTTAACAGCTATATTTACTTACCATTCCCTCCAAAGTACAAAACCTTGTTTTAAGTTGGTTGCTTTGTATCAGTAACATAAAAAGCCAACTTGCTTACCAGAGCCAAAAATTAATGTAGTTGGAAATAAAGATCAGTCCCTCTTGTGTGGCTTTATCAAATTCAATGGGCAGTTCTTGAAAGCTTGACTAACATGGAGCTTAAACCCAGCATTTCAGATTTTATTTAGGAGCTTGCTGAATATAAAGTAACTAATAGCGTACCTACGTTTTAGTGTAGCATCTCTGGGCTTCCAGCCCTTTATCCCACCTGGCAGTAGTTATTAGGTGATCCTAATCCAGGCACCAGATTCCACTTTTGGACTGAAACCAGTGTGTCTCACATCCATATTCCCTGTGCCACCATTTTTGGTCTATTAGCCAGAATTGGACTCTGCATATCTGCTCTGAAGATCTGGAGCTTAATTTGAAGATTCAAGGTTAAATAAAATACAGGCAATGTTCTGGTCAAATATTTTGTTTACTGCAATTTTATTTTTGGCTTGGCAAAAAGCCACACAACTTTTCTTGGTCTTCATAAGAGAAAGAACTTAATAACGTTCCGTGTAACTCGGTTTCAAAGGCTGGAATTAAGAGGAGGAATAGTCAGGATAGTTGTTTTTTTTTTCCCCTGGTCCAGATCAGGAGGATACTGGGGAGCTGTTTGCTCTGCTTTTACTTGTCTTACTCACATGTATAATGAATCATCCTCAGTGATGAGATGTTTTTGCACTAGGTGGATGTTGCAGACCTGTTTGTGGCAGGTTGGCCTTCTAAGTATTTTGTTGGACAAAAACCCACTGTTTATGTATTTATTTATTTTTTTTAATCTGTGTGGAGGCTTTGATCTTTTGACCTTGGTAATACAATGTCAAAAAATAGCTGAGTGTGTAAAAAGCTTTACATCTGTCAATAGTAGTGTTAAAAAGGGATTATTAGGACTGCATAGGCTTATAGGATCTTAATGTAAGCTACCTTTTCGATTGCCTTCCTGGGAATATTACCTGTTACACAATCACAACTAAATAAATATACAAGAAGTTACTTATTTTAAATTAAGAGATTTGCCTAATTCTGAGAAATGGCTGCAAAATGCTGAGGCTTAGGAATGCTCTCAATTGCAGCACACCTAGGCTGAAGCTTTCTGCTTTTTCCTTCATGGTGATCCTTACTGTCCCTTTGCAGCAGTGACACCAAAGATCAGGACACTGGGGTAAAGTCCCACAAAAAATGAGGTTGGGGTCAAAGGCAGGGGTATATGCTCTCCTAGTCAACATCATAGCTGCTCTTCAGTGGGAAATAAACCTGGATTTTCTGTCCATCTGTCTTGAGAACACGTTTGTAGGCTTATATGTAGCTCACGGTTTGAGACGTGCACACACATTCTCTGCTGTTTTGTCCCCTGCCAGCAGCATCCCCCTCATCTCCTTCTGCAGGCAGGCTATTACACACAGCAGGGTCTCTAGCAGCAGGGGTGCTTTATGTTACTGAAAGCTCCTGTGATGTCAGAAAGATTTAAGAAGTAAAAAAAAAAAATAAAAAAAACCCCTACAGCTCTGGAAACCACTTGCGTCTCCTGATGGTGGCAGGACTGAGGGTTCTCACCCAGCTCCCTTGAGAGGAGCTGCCCTCACCTCCTCTTTGTGTTCACGTATGTGCTGTTTCATGGAAACATCCAAAGCAAAACCCAACTGGAAAATGTCTGTTGCCTGTAGATCCCAGAGTGAGTGAGAGCTAATCCCACGTGCCTTGGTGATAAATGTTGGCCCTTGGGTTTGCCCCTACCATTCCTTGCTCCTGAGCAGCTGCTCTCTGCTCCTGCCAACCTAGATTTGCAAGAAATTGTGTGATTTCAGCTACTTTAGTTTTCCTCAGCACCTGTTGAGTTGGTGAGGGGTGTATTCTCTCTTCTGCCTTCATCTTGAGCCTGCTTTGAGGAGAGGCTGGGACAAAGCCGCAGTCATCATCAGGTGCGAGATGTTCCCTTCTGTTCCGTGGCCTGGAGGAGCGGGAAGCCTGAAGGAGCGCCATTCCCAGTCCTGCTCAGGCCTCTCTCTCTCAGTGCATCAGTACCTGGCAGCTGAGCCCCCGCCAGGCAGCCCGTGGCTGGGAAGGCTGCCAGGTGAACACATGGGCACGGATGCCGGCCGTGAGGAGCGCGAGCACGGTTCGGGCATGGCAGGATGGGCATCCCAGCTGGATGCGCCCCAGGACCGGCTACCGCTGAGGGGCTGCGTGTTCCTACATCTGAAGGCTGGAGCCGCTTCAAGCGGCCTCAGAGCCGGCTAATTCGGGGCACGGGAGAGCCGCCAGGCTCGGGCCTGCAGATCCCGGGGACCTCGGGTTTTGGCTTGGCTCTGGAGCAGGGGAGGGAGCTGGCAGGAGCGGCACAAGCTCCGTGCGCTGCCTTGCTGACGTGCTTTGCCCAGAGGGGCTGTCAGTGGTGGCTTTTCCTTTGTGCCTCCTGCCATCTGCACCCCGCTGGGGCCGAGGCCATGGGCCAGGGAAGATGCTCAGAGGAGGGGAGGCTTCTTCAGCAGATCCTGGAGGTGTGGGCAGCATTTGGAGCATGGGGCGCCAGGCTGATGGCAGCGCTGCTCTCCCTGGAGGTGAGCTGGGGCAGATGAGAGCAAGAGGAGCAGTCCCAGGTATTGGTTTGAGGTATCCTGCTGTGGATGGATGCACTCTCTTCCTGGCATGGTTGAGGTCTGTTGTCTCAGGAGGGTTTTGCCATGTTCCCAGGGCATAACCTGAGCCATG